ATAATCTTGTTCCACTCCAGGTGCTCCACCATTCTCCTCCTGATAATCTTCTCCATGACTTTGCATACTATACACGTCAGTGACACAGGTCTGTAGTTAGTGCTTCATTTCTGTCTCCTTTCTTAAAAATTGGGACTACATTTGCCATCTTCCATACTTCAGGTAGTTGCCCAATTTCAAAGGAAGTGTTGAAGATTTTGGTTAGCACAGCGTCTCTGCTCCCTCTCTAAGGACCCACAGAGAGATGTTGTCCGGTCCCACCGCCTTTGAGGCATCAAGGCCACTTAGGAATTCTTCACCTCCTCCTCAGTTGTGTGCAATTCATCCAACACTTGTTGGTATATCCCTTGTTGATGTACCCCACTGTTTTGAGTGTGTGTGTGTGTGTGTGTGTGTGTGTGTGTGTGTGTGTGTGTGTGTGTGCGTGTGCGTGTGTGTGCGCGTGTGTGCGTGTGTGCGTGTGCATGTGTGTGTATGTGTGCGCGCATGTGTTTGTGTGCTCACCTATTTGTATTCCCTATTTGTGGTTGCAGGGGTCGAGGCTCAGCTCCTGGCTCTGCCTCTTCACTGATCGCTACTAGGTCCTCTCCCTACTCCATGAGCTTTATCATACCTCGTCATAAAACTATGTATGGTTCTTGCCTCCACTACATCACATGCCAGATTATTCCACTTTCTGACAACTCTGTGACTGAAGAAATACTTCCTAACATCCCTGTGACTCATCTGAGTTTTCAACTTCCAATTGTGACTCCTTGTCTCTGTGTCCCATCTCTTGAACATCCTGTCTCTGTCCAACTTTTCTTTTCCTCTCAGTATTTTATATGTCGTTATCATGGCAGAAGAGGTGGAGGAGGAAGAGGAGGAAGAGGAGTAGGAGGAGGAGGAGAAATTGGAGGATGGGGAGGAGGAGAGGGGGAAGGGAGGTTTTTTTTTTTGTGTTTATTTGTTTAAGCCACACTGGCGGGTAGGCTGTGTTCCCGTACAAGCTTGTGTGTATAATAATAATATCTTTATTTACTACAAGTACATGTACAAGGTATACAGTCCTAGCTGACATCAATGACATACTACTATATAGAAAGTCCCTTGTTATGCTCAGCATTTTTGGCAAATTAGGTCAGTGTCCCAGGATGCGTCCCACACCAGTCGACTAACACCCAAGTACCCATTTTACTGATGGGTAACATAGACAACCGGAGTAAAGAAACACGTCCAATGTTTCTACTCTGGCTGGGAATCGAACTCAGGCCCTCGCCGTGTGAAGCGAGGTTAGCCACCAGGCCACTTTGCACGTACACACCTGTTAGTTAGTTACCATTTTGCCCTAGGCACTTGTCGATTAGACACTAGACCTGTAGTATATGCTTGCATGTGTGTATGTACTCACCTAGTTGAGGCTGCAGGGGTCGAGTCCAAGCTCCTGGCACTGCCCCTTCACTGGTCGCTACTAGGTCACTCTCCCTGAACCGTGAGCTTTATCATACCTCTGCTTAAAGCTATGTATGGATCCTGCCTCCACTACATCGCTTCCCAAAGTATTCCACTTCGTGACTACTCTGTGGCTGAAGAAATACTTCCTAACATCCCTGTGATCCATCTGCGTCTTCAACTTCCAACTGTGCCCCCTTGTTACTGCGTCCAATCTCTAGAACATCCTGTCTTTGTCCACCTTGTCAATTCCTCTCAGTATTTTGTATGTCGTTATCATGTCCCCCCTATCTCTCCTATCCTCCAGTGTCGTTAGGTTGATTTCCCTTAACCTCTCCTCGTAGGACATACCTATTAGCTCTGGGACTAGTCTTGTTGCAAACCTTTGCACTTTCTCTAGTTTCTTTACGTGCTTGGCTAGGTGTGGGTTCCAAACTGGTGCTGCATACTCCAATATGGGCCTAACGTGCACGGTGTACAGGGTCCTGAACGATTCCTTATTAAGATGTCGGAATGCTGTTCTGAGGTTTGCTAGGCGCCCATATGCTGCAGCAGTTATTTGGTTGATGTGCGCTTCAGGAGATGTGCCTGGTGTTATACTCACCCCAAGAGCTTTTTCCTTGAGTGAGGTTTGTAGTCTCTGGCCCCTTAGACTGTACTCCGTCTGCGGTCTTCTTTGCCCTTCCCCAATATTCATGACTTTGCACTTGGTGGGATTGAGCTCCAGGAGCCAGTTGCTGGACCAGGTCTGCAGCCTGTCCTGATCCCTTTGTAGTTCTGCCTGGTCTTCGATCGAATGAATTCTTCTCATCAACTTCACGTCATCTCCAAACAGGGACACCTCGGAGTCTATTCCTTCCGTCATGTCGTTCACAAATACCAGAAACAGCACTGGTCCTAGGACTGACCCCTGTGGGACCCCGCTGGTCACAGATGCCCACTCTGACATCTCGCCATGTACCATGACTCGCTGTTGTCTTCCTGACAAGTATTCCCTGATCCATTGTAGTGCCTTCCCTGTTATCCCTGCTTGGTCCTCCAGTTTTTGCACCAATCTCTTGTGTGGAACTGTGTCAAACGCCTTCTTGCAGTCCAAGAAAATGCAATCCACCTACCCCTCTCTCTCTTATCTTACTGCTGTCACCATGTCATAGAACTCCAGTAGGTTTGTGACACAGGATTTCCCATCCCTGAAACCATGTTGGCTGCTGTTAATGAGATCGTTCCTTTCTAGGTGTTCCACCACTCTTCTCCTGATAATCTTCTCCACGACTTTGCATACTATACATGTCAGTGACACTGGTCTGTAGTTTAGTGCTTCATGTCTATCTCCCTCTTTAAAGATTGGGACTACATTTGCTGTCTTCCATGCCTCAGGCAATCTCCCTGTTTCGATAGATGTATTGAATATTGTTGTTAGGGGTACACATAGCGCCTCTGCTCCCTCTCTCAGGACCCATGGGGAGATGTTATCCAGCCCCATTGCCTTTGAGGTATCTAGCTCACTCAGAAGCCTGTTCACCTTTTCCTCGGTTGTGTGTACTGTGTCCAGAACTTGGTGGTGTGACCCACCCATCCGTCTTTCTGGAGCCCCTTCTGTCTCCTCTGTGAACACTTCTTTGAATCTCTTGTTGAGTTCCTCACATACTTCACGGTCATTTCTTGTCTCTTCTCCTTCCTTCCTTAGCCTGATTACCTGGTCCTTGACTGTTGTTTTCCTCCTGATGTGGCTGTATAACAGTTTCGAGTCAGATTTGGCTTTCGTTGCTATGTCGTTTTCATATTGTCGTTGGGCCTCTCTTCTTATCTGTGCATATTGGTTTCTGGCTCTACGACTGCTCTCATTCTCCTGGGCCCTTTGCCTTCTATATTTCTTCCATTCCCTAGCACACTTGGTTTTTGCCTCCTTGCACCTTTGGGTGAACCATGGGCTCATCCTGGCTTTTTCATTATTCCTGTTTCCCTTGGGTACAAGCCTCTCCTCAGCCTCCTTGCACATTGTTGCTACATATTCCATCATCTCATTAACTGGCTTCCCTGCCAGTTCTCTGTCCCACTGAACCTCGTTCAGGAAGTTCCTCATTCCCGTGTAGTCCCCTTTCTTGTAGTTTGGCTTCATTTGTCCTGGCCTTCCTGCTTCCCCCTCCACTTGTAGCTCTACTGTGTGTGCATGTGTGTGTGTGTGTGTGTACTCACCTATTTGTGGTTGCAGGGGTCGAGTCTTAGCTCCTGGCCCCGCCTCTTCACCGGTTGCTACTGGGCCCTCTCTCTCCCCGCTCCATGAGCTTTATCAAACCTCGTCTTAAAACTGTGTATGGTTCCTGCCTCCACTACGTCATTTTCTAGGCTATTCCAATGCCTTACAACTCTATGACTGAAGAAATACTTCCTAATATCTCTCTGACTCTTTTGTGTCTTCAACTTCCAATTGTGGCCTCTTGTTTCTGTGTCCCCTCCCTGGAACATCCTGTCTTTGTCCACCTTGTCTATTCCACGCAGTATTTTATATGCCGTTATCATGTCTCCCCTGACCCTCCTGTCCTCCAGTGTCGTCAGGCCGATTTCCCTTAATCTTTCTTCATAGGACATTCCCCTTAGCTCTGGAACTAACCTTGTGGCAAACCTTTGTACTTTCTCTAGTTTCTTGACGTGCTTTATCAAGTGCGGGTTCCAAACAGGTGCTGCATACTCCAGTATGGGCCTGACATACACGGTGTACAGTGTCTTGAACGATTCCTTACTAAGGTATCGGAATGCTGTTCTCAGGTTTGCCAGGCGCCCATATGCTGCAGCAGTTATCTGATTGATGTGTGCTTCCGGAGACATGCTCGGTGTTATACTCACCCCAAGATCTTTCTCCTTGAGTGAGGTTTGCAGTCTTTGGCCACCTAGCCTATACTCTGTCTGTGGTCTTCTGTGCCCTTCCCCTATCTTCATGACTTTGCATTTGGCAGGATTAAATTCGAGAAGCCGTTTGCTGGACCAGGTGTCCAGTCTGTCCAGGTCTCTTTGAAGTCCTGCCTGGTCCTCATCAGATTTAATTCTCCTTATTAACTTCACATCATCTGCAAACAGGGACACTTCTGAGTCTAACCCTTCCATCATGTCGTTCACATATACCAAAAATAGCACTGGTCCTAGGACCGACCCCTGTGGGACCCCGCTCGTCACAGGTGCCCACTGTGATACATCATTACGTACCATGTGTGTGTGTGTGTGTGTGTGTGTGTGTGTGTGTGTGTGTGTGTGTGTGTGTGTGCATGTGTGTGCATGTGTGTGCATGTGTGTGCGTGTGTGTGCGTGTGCGTGTGTGCGTGTGTGTGTGTGTGTGTGTGTGTGTGTGTGTGTGTGTGTGTGTGTGTGTGTGTGTGTGCGTGCGTGCGTGCGTGCGTGCAACCACCAGTTTACTGAAAGGAGATGTAGCAAATGTAAGACCTTCCAGTAGTTTGCTGGATGGACTCTCTGAATTAATAATACAAAAATCAGTTCTTAACTACTGTTCATCAATATTTTAAATGCGAGAAGTAATATAGAAGAAAGATTACATAAATACAAGCTCAATACAGTACCACTCCTCCTCTGGTCGCGTCACGTCCTCCGACAACGAATTTGTCAACCCTGATGGTGTTTTGTCTCTTGATTCGTCCTCCCTCTATACTGACTTCCGTGCTTTCTGTACGGGACAATAGTCTATTAATTTATATACATGGAAACACACACACACACACACACACACACACACACACACACACACACACACACACGCACACACACACACACACACACATACATACACCCAGGGAAGGCACTAGAATGGATAAGGGAATACTTGTCAGGAAGACAGCAGCGAGTCATGGTACGTGGCACCTGTGACCAGCGGGGTCCCACAAAGGTCAGTCCTAGGACCAGTACTGTTTCTGTATTTGTGAACGACATAACGGAAGGAATAGACTCCGAAGTGTCCCTGTTTGCAGATGATGTGAAGTTCATGAGAAGAATTCATTCAGACGAAGACCAGGCAGAACTACAAAGGGATCTGGACAGGCTGCAGACCTGGTCCAACAATTGGCTCCTGGAGTTCAACCCCACCAAGTGCAAAATCATGAAGATTGGGGAACGGCAAAGAAGACTGACGGAGTACAGTCTAGAGGGCCAGAGACTACAAACCTCACTCAAGGAAAAAGATCTTGGGGTGAGTATAACACCAGGCACATCTCCTGAGGCACACATCAACCAAATAACTGCTACAGCATACGGGCGCCTAGTAAATCTCAGAACAGCATTCCCCCATCTTAATAAGGAATCGTTCAGGACCCTGTACCCTGTGTACGTTAGGCCCATATTGGAGTATGCGGCATCAGTTTGGAACCCACACCTAGCCAAGCACGTAAAGAAACTAGAGAAAGTGCAAAGGTTTGCAACAAGACTAGTCCCAGAGCTAGGAGGTATGTCCTACGAGGAGAGGTTAAGGGAAATCAACCTGACGACACTGGAGGACAGGAGAGATAGGGGGGACATGATAACGACATACAAAATACTGAGAGGAATTGACAAGGTGGACAAAGACAGGATGTTCCAGAGATGGGACACAGCTACAATGGGACACAGTTGGAAGTTAAAGACACAGATGAATCACAGGGATGTTAGGAAGTATTTCTTCAGTCATAGAGTAGTCAGGAAGTGGAATAGTTTGGGAAGCGATATAGTGGAGGCAGGATCCATACATAGCTTTAAGTAGAGGTATGATAAAGCTCATGGTTCAGGGAGAGTGACCCAGTAGCGAAAAGTGAAGAGGCGGGGCCAGGAGCTATGACTCGACCCCTGTAACCACAGCTAGGTGAGTACACACACACACACACACACACACACACACACACACACACACAAAACTAAGTGAGAACATCACATATAAAAGACTCCTCGGGGCCAGTGACCACGTTCTTCTGAGCTTCAAATAGTAGAGTTACAAATGGAGAGGGAACCAGGAAGCAGCACCAATGAAGCCAAACTACAAGAGAGGGGACTATACAGGCATATAGAATTTCCTGCACTGGGTTCAGTGAGACAGAGACCTGGCAACGAAGTCAGTAAAGAAAATGATGGAATGTGTGACAACAATATACCAAGGATGCTGAAGAGAGGTTTGTACCCAAGGGTAACAGAAATAACGAGAAAGGCAGGATGAGCCTTTGGTTTACCCAAAGGTGTAGAGAGGCCAAAACTAAGTGTTCTAGAGAATGGAAGAAGTATTAAAGACAAAGGACTCAGGAAAATAATGAGATAAGTCAAAGAACCAGAAATGAATATGGACAGATAAGGAGGGAGGCTCCGTGACTATACGAAAATGACATAGTATCGAAAGGAGGCCTGGTCTCAGACCGGGCCGCGGGGGCGTTGACCCCCGGAACTCTCTCCAGGTAAACTCCAGGTAAAGGCAAGTCTGAGCCGAAGTTTTTGTACAGTCACATCGGGAGGAAAACAACAGTCAAAGACCAGGTAATCAGGTTGAAGAAGGAAGGAGGGGAGATCACAAGAAACGACCGAGTTGTATATGAAGAGCTCAGGAGATTTAAAGAAGCATTTACAGTGGAGACAGAATGGACCCGAGAACGCTGAAGTGGTAGCGTACATCATGACGTGCTGGACACAGTACGTACAACCGAGGAGGTGAAGAGGCTGCTAAGTGAACTAGATACCTAAAAAGAGATTGGGCCAGACATCCCTCTGTGAGTTCTCAGAGAGGGAGTAGAGGTACGCTGTGTACTGCTAACAACAGTCTTCAACACATCAAAACAGGGCGACTTCCTGAAGTGTGGAAGACAGCAAATGTAGTCCCAGTTTTTAAGAAAGGAGACAGACACACAACACTAAACTACAGACCAGTGTATAGTATGCAAAATAATTTATAAGATAATCAGAAGAGTGGTGGAGCATCTAGAAAGGAATGAGCTTATTCACGACAACCAGCATGGGTTCAGGTAAGGGAAATTCTGCGTTACAAACCTACTGGAGTTCTATAACGGGGTGATGGCAGTAAGGCAAGAGAGAGAGAGAGAGAGAGAGAGAGAGAGAGAGAGAGAGAGAGAGAGAGAGAGAGAGAGAGAGAGAGAGAGGTGGGCAGATTGCATTTTCTTGGACTGTAAGAAGGCTTTGGACACAGTTCCACACAAGAGATTAGTGCAAAAGTTGGAGGACTAGGCAGGTATAACAGGGAAGGCATTGCAATGGATCAGAGAATACCTGACAGGAAGGGAACTGCGAGTCATGGAACGCGACGAGGTGTCAGACTGGGCGCCTGTGACGAGCGGGGTCCCACAGGGGTCGGTCCTGGGTCCGATTCTGTTCCTGGTATATGTAAAAGACATGACGGAAGGGATAGATTCAGAGGTGTCTCTGTTTGTAGATGATGTGAAGTTGATGAGAAGAATCCAATCGCATGAGGACCAAAGGGATCTGGACAGACTACAGGCCTGGTCCAGCAACTGGCTCCTGGAGTTCAACCCCACCAAGGGGAATTACAAAGAAGACCGCAGACGGAGTACAGTCTAGGGGGCCAGAGACTACAAACCTCACTCAAGGAAAAGGATCTTGGGGTGAGTATAACACCAAGCACATCTCATGAGGCGCACGTCAACCAAATAACTGCTGCAGCATACGGGCGCCTAACAAACCTAAGAACAACATTCCGACACCTTAATAAGGAATCGTTCAGGACCCTATACACTGTACGTTAGGCCCAGCACCAGTTTGGAACCCACACCTAGCCAAGAAGTAAGGAAACCTAGAAAAAGTGCAAAGGTTTGCAACAAGACTAGTCCCGGAGCTAAAGGGTATGTACTACGAAGAGAAGTTAAGGGAAATTGACTTGACGACACTGGAAGATAGGAAAGGTAGGGGGTATATGATAACGACATATAAAATACTGAGAGGAATCGACAAGGTAGACAGAGACAGGATGTTCCAGAGATGGGACACAGCAGTAAGGGATCACAACCGGAAGCTGAAGACTCAGATGAATCACAGGGATGTTAGAAAGTATTTCTTCAGTCACAGAGTTGTCATCAAGTGGAATAGTCTGGGAAGGGATGTAGTGGAGGCAGGATCCATACATAGCTTTAAGAAGAGGTATGATAAAGCTCATGGAGCAGGAAGAGTGACCTAGTAGCGGCCAGTGAAGAGGCGGGGCCAGGAGCTGTGAATCGACCCCAGCAACCACAACTAGGTGAGTACAACTAGGTGAGGTGAGTACACACATACACACACAAATACACACATGCACAGACTATCACACGCACACACACATCTCACTGAACACATCCCTTGAGGCGCACATCAACCAGATAACAGCTGCAGCATCCGGGTGCCTGGCAAATCTAAGAATAGGATATCGATACCTGAGTAAGGAGTCATTCCAGACATAGTGCACCGTGTACGTTTGGCCCATATTGGAGTATGCACCACCAATAAGGAACCTACACCTGGTCAAGGACGTCAAGAAATTAGAGAAAGTGTAAAGGTTCGCATCAAGATTGGTCCCAGAGGTAAGGGGTATATCCTAACTGGAGAGGCCAACGGAATCAAACCTTTCAATTCTGAGGCATAAAGGGGACATAATAATGACGTATAAAATACAGGGACAGAATGATGCAGAGATGGGACTGAGGAACAAGGGGCTACAGCTGGAAGTTGAAAAGTCGCATTAGTCATAGGGATGTTAAGAAGCATTTCTTCAGCTCTAGAGTTGTCAAGAATTGGAACAATCTGTAGTGATACAGTGGAGGCACGATCCATATACAGGTTTAAGAAGAGGTACAATAAGGCTCTTGAAGCCGGAATAAATTGGATCTACTTGGGACCAGTAGAGAGGCAGGGCCAGGAGCTGTGAATCCCCCTCAACTATAAATAGGTGAGTAAAAATAGGTGACCACGCAAATTTATGATACGTTACAATACATTTTTCTTCATTCTTGGTAATCCTTCCCTCTGAATACTTCACTTTATAATTATTATATTTATTAAATAGACAATATCAAGTAATTATATGGAGAGCAGACGGATGTCACTTAGTGTAATCAGAAGGTTTTCCCGCGACTGTAGCTTCAGTCTGCTAGTGTTGTATGTGTCTTAGTGACAGGTATCACAAACTAAATTTATTCTCATTACTTTACACAAGGTGTATGTAAGGCTTAGAATCGTGTACTCACAACAAAATGAGTGAATATCTAGTTCAGAGAGAGAGAGAGAGAGAGAGAGAGAGAGAGAGAGAGAGAGAGAGAGAGAGAGAGAGAGAGAGAGAGAGAGAGAGAGAGAGAGAGAGAGAGAGAAATAATGTTAAGAGCCTTAACCTATCTTTACGATACTGAAGATCTCATCAGAACAAGATGAGGAATTTATACGTACAACCTGGCTGTGGGAAAAACGGAATAGGCCGAATCCTTAACCTGTAAATAGCTTGTTAATAAAGCTATGGATCCTTAACCTAACCTTGTCAAACCCTGTGTAAAAGAAAAAAAAAAAGCACTTTGCTCTGAGCTCGCCACCTCTGATTCGAGTGCTCTTCTCCAAGCTCATGTTGACAATCAAGTGAATGTCTTTACTGGATACATCCTCAGTGTTCACCAAGAACATATTCATCGTCGGCAGTATGTGACGAAGCCTGCAGATCAGCCTTAG